CTTCGGATCCCACGTCCAAACATATTATATCAGGCTTTCCATCCCTCCAAGATCATTGTGTTCTGTTTTATGAGAACCGTTTTGTCGCTCACACAACACCTATTACCAAGGAAATTATAGTTCCCCATCATTGGTGTTGACGCGCTGGCGGAAATGTGCAACACACTCACAACACATTGACGATCAAATTGAAGGTTCTCACTAAGTTTTTCGTTTTAAGCGAGAACCTATTCCTCGGTTAACAAGAATTAATTAGTGAGAAACATAATAGTTTCTCCATATATTATTGCGTGAAAGATATGCACAAAACCCGCCAACTTCAAGGCTACAAATTAAGTGCTTCCTCACTCACAACAAGCCATCTTTGTTCTTGCGAAGCAAATCATTTCCTTGTTAAAACCAATCAGCAAGGACAATAACTACACTACCTTCCTCCATTACCCTTCGTCACCTGAGCGAAAATCCTTTGGGTGGTGCCACGGTGTCGGGTGGCGTAAAAACGAGCGCGTACTCCCACACGCGAGCGCGCGCGTTGTCTACGTCAACCGCCCCAGCCTCATGCGCCACACCCGAAAACTACAGCCGAACTTATGGTCCTTTGTCGCTGGCTTCGATGTCCTCCTCGTTTGTTAGGGCACAACTTCACGATGAAACCACTTCAACCGAAACCCCACCTTAATTTCTACCTTCCGGTTCAACGCGCGCGCCTCCCAAGTGATGAAAGGATCTGCCTCACAAAGTCCTTGATTCCAGATTTCAAACAACTTCTGCTGACCTTCTGCTTGAAATATACACTTTACTCTGCTCAGACTTCGTGCAACACTCTAGCATTGATGTCTGAAATAGAATACCCATCATCCTCGACCAGCCCCTTCTGGAAATACCGATTCCAACACCAAACCACCGCTGGTACTCCGAACCCGTACCCCGCTTATTCCATATTCTTCGCATAACTGGTACAAGCTCATGTATGGTGACATGCTTCAACTACTCAAACCTGGAGCAATCCCTCACTCCTGTCGTGTGTGTGTGCTTGTGTGTGTGTGTGTGTGTGTGTTGTGTGTGTGTGCTGTGTCTGTGTGTGTGGTGTGTGTGTGTGTGTATAATATATAGTACTACCTTATATACCTACTCTTACTACTATATACTAACCTATTTAGAGATTTTTAAATATTTTAAATATACATTAACACTAGTAGAAAACAGAATAGTCCAAACGGTTATTAGAACCGTTTGAACAAATGAAAATAGCCCAAACAGTTAAAACCGTTTGGGATAATAAAACTCAAATGGTTGAAACTGTTTAGGCTGTTAGGAGATCCCAAACGCACTCGCCAAACGGTTACAACCTTTTGGGATGTTTAGCCCAAACAGTTTAAACAATTTGGCTGATTTACTTATTTTTCTTTTTTAAAATGTAACATATCTATTTCTCCGTTCTCTTGCTTACTAAACCCGAGTCCCCCCAAAAAAATTCCCCTTCCCCTTAAAAATTTTTCCCAAACTCTAAAATCCCCGCGCCCCTAAACCCCAATCTCTCAAATCCCTCCTCTTAATATACAAGAATCCGCCTCTCGTCTTCATCATCGTCGTCGTCTCCATCCCCTCAAATCCCTCTCCGACCCGACCGCCACCGCCAGCAACAATCCGAAGCCCTCGACGGCCTCGAGAGATGTGATGGATTTCATGAAGGTTTTGGATCAGACCGCTCGAGAGATGTGAGATTCGAGCTCTCTCTCTCTCTCGATCGCAATTCTTTTGTCTGAGATTTTTCTATAGAGATTTCATTTTTGTTTCTTTCTTTAATTTTTTTTTTGCAAAAAGAGGGAGGTGAAACTTGGATTTAAACTTGGCGTTTTTCATTCTAGTTGAAAATCATTGATGACTCCAGCAGAATCTGGCAAATGATTATCTATAAATTACTTGCATTTAAATACATTGGCAGTAGTGGAAGTAAATGTACTTGCATTTAAATACATTAGCATGGAAAAATGCCTTCCTTTCCTAGGCCCATATGCCTGTCAGCAACCCTTTACTGATTATCTATAAATTATATCACTAGTAGAAAATCGTGTATTCTAGACGGAATATTCTAGACGGAAAATTTTTCGTCTAGTTTGCTATTAAACTAGACGAAAAATTTCCATCTAGAATATTCCGTTTAGGATAAAACATTCTAGATGGAAATTTCTGTCTATGATACTCGGCCATTTAAAAAAAATTTAAAAAAAAGAACCGTCTAGGATATTATCCTAGACGGTTCTTTTTTTTTTTATTTTTTTAAAAAATGGCCGCGGGTATCCTAGACATAAATTTTCGTCTAGGATACATCCTAGATAGAAATTTCCGTCTAAGATACTATGACCCATATAAAAAAAATAAAAACACCAAAATTTCCCCCCAAAATCAAAATTCCCCCCCCCCCCCAAAAAAAAAAATTCCGCCCAAAATCGAAANACGCTCCCCCCCCGCCCCTAATTCTTTTTCTAACTCCTCCGTTCTCTCTCTCTCTCTCTCTCACACATAAATGGAGCTCCTTCGGACTCATCTCTCTAGGGCTCGAATCCCCGAACCCACGAACCGAATCTACGAGCATGAGTGCTGATCTCCTTCGACACCTCGGTACCTCTCCATCTCGTCCTCGATTTTCAAGCCGAAACCCTAATACTAACCCTAGTTTACGTCTGTTTGCAGAGATCAGATTCGGATAGGGGGGGTCTGTTTGTCGATATGAGCTCCTTCCTCGCTTTTGGCAAGGATTACGTCGCTTCAAATTATGAGAAGACTGGCAATCCTGTGTATCTTCACATTCAGCAGATGAAGAAGCCGATTCCTGAGATCCGGCCTCTCAAGAAACCGACGTTGCTCGCCATTGGTATTCGTCGAATCTATTCTTTTTGTTCCTTGATTCAATTTTTTTATTGATAATTGTGTCCATAGCGTTGAAACTGAACCCTAGTTTAGGGGAATTTATTGCCAGTTGTTTGTCGGTGACGTCTTGGTATCGGTATCACCATTTCTTGAATCTAGAAGGGGGAAATGAATACAATTTTCAAAGTGTAGTATAGATGAAATGAGAATGCTAAAGATGAGAGAGTATTAGCACTTATGCGTGAAGAATGTTGACTATTCATGCTTAAGAATTTTTTTAAGAACAACTAATCATGCTTAAGAATGTCGGACAACTTAAACAATATTTCAAAGTGTAATATAGAAGATATGATAATGCTAAAGATGGGATAAAATACCAATGTTTATGCCTGAAGTTTGGAGCTGATTAAGGTTGAAATGACAAGAACTCATTGGCATGTGTAATAAAGACCAACAATTGCTATATAGAACGATCAATGAAGTCTGGGCATAAGCCTAAATGAACATGGATTGAGGTCATTAAAAAAGGACTTGTAGTTGTTAATGTTGTAATGCTCAGGACAAGGTCTTTCAAGTGGTTTGCTCTTTCTGATCCTGCTTTCACTTGAGCATGCTTATTTCTACCACTGCTCTTTCTCGCGATATGCTTATTTCAATTGAGGGTAGTATGACACTCTCCTTGCATTTAGCATCCTTACCAAACTTAGTCGAAACTTGCGTTGTACCTCAAGTCAGTGTTTGGTTTTACAGGTGGCTGCACCACATCGATAATCATGTGGAAGGGAGCAAATGGATGTAAACATTCGTAGGTATGCTCGCATTTGTCTCCAGTAGGATAGATATGGATATTTGATATCCATATACCATTGGATATACAGAGAATTTGGAAAAGGAATTTGGGCAGAGATGACAGGTGCATCTCTGACCATGGAAAGGAGGTATAGACCCCGTAAACCGTTTTTATGCTTTTGTTTTCTTTTTCACAAATTACTTTTCAAAAGTTTTAGTGATTATATTTTTCCTTTCCTGTTTTTATCTATTGTAGGCTAGATTTCCATTTCTGGATGAGGATGTAATTAAATCTCTACTGGAACTTCCCTTGTGGGAGATTGCTGAACTCGACGAACCTGCTGGAAGAGGTGATAAAAAAATTTTGAGGGAGGAAGGTGTACCAAAATACGACCTATCTTAGATTTCAAACTGCCATGTGATGCTATGTATACTGAGCAAACGTTTGGCTTTGATATATACTTGAATATTCAAAGGGAAGCATAAACAAAATCTTTTGGATACTTGGTTAAATTTCTATATATCGTGTGACATGTTGCAAGATTGCTTGGCATTGAAGGAACATCTCTTCTACCCAAAAGAGCCATTCAGGTGCGAAGTTTACTCTCACCGTATATCAAAGAATACACATTGCATTTATTGTAAATTTTCATATTTCAAAATTAATCCCGAATTTTGTGAAGATTTAACGAACTTGCTATTTCTAACATACAGTTCGGTTCAAGAATTGCTAGAGAATCGAACCGAAAGACTTTTGGAAGCAATCGTGTAGAAAATCAAGCATCAGCTGGGAGTGTTGAAATTTGGGAGAAATAGACAATCTCACATCAAAGTTTTGATTGGTCTCCGATGGACATATAATCCAAGAAAACTGGTGTGACAATATATGAATTGTTTGACATGTGGAACCATGTCTCAGATCCATATGCCGGTCGATCCACACAACTTATCTGTATGAATGAGTAACAACATGTTTGTAAAAGTCGCATTTTTCATTTGAATATTAATATTTGCTAATTTATCATTCAATTTTCGTTTATATTCAAATTCTACTTAGTTTTGCATTGCCTTCTTTTGTCTTTAGTTGAGTGTGTGCTCCTTATATTAATGTCAATGACTTGGTTCCTCTTTCAGGTTTCTGATGAATACAAGCTTGTTCCAGACACACTGCATCTCACTGTTAATATCATCGATCGTTTCCTCTCCCAAAATTATATTGAAAGGCAGAGATTGCAACTCTTGGGCATTAGTTGCATGTTAATTGCATCGTAAGTTTTCTGTTTTATGTGTTAGTGTTAATGTTCCTTTATATATTTGAATAAGATTATGACCGTTAACATGATCGCCTGCATTTAGTATGTCAATGTTTTTTTAGTTGTGTAGTATTTGATAATGTTATTCTATTTATTTAAATATCCATCATTTAAAGTATCTTCTGGGCAAACTATCTTCATACTATGTTTGATTATTAATGTCTAAATGAAACTTGTGTGGGGATTGTTTCATGGTACCATGATGTATCACAAAGACCTGAGGTTAATCATCACTGGATTTCGTTCAACCTCCTGTTCATATAGTAAAGTAGGGATTTTCATAGATTTATTTATATGCTGAAGTTATGTGGACTTGTTATGCTTAAATTGGCACTTGATTTCCTCTAGCATATGGCTTTAGCTAATAGAACTTTCGGATCTGTGTTGTGTGTTACACAGAACATACAAAGAAATTTGTGCTCGTATAGAAGAACAAGTTGACGCCTTAGATCATCAAAACATTTAAGGAAAGCATGATTGAGCATAAAGGAACATTTAAGGGGCAAACTATTCTCTTTTTATTACATTCCACTTTAGATTTATTAAACATAGACTATCAAAACATTTAAGGAAAGCATAACATATTAAATTATCATCTAAGTAAAATTAACATTCATGAAGAAAACAAATAACTAGATAGTAATTCTAGAAATCATAAGCATATCCTATGAAACTATTCAAGATAAACATAGATTATCAAATTTTTCTTCTACCAATTAGTTCTCTAGTTGATTATCCTAAACATGATCATTTTAAACGCAAGAGAAAAACTCATAAATTATAAAAGAAATCAAGCTAGTTTCATATTCTAGAATTCCTATAAGAATTAGTTCCGCATCAAAGAAAATAAAAACAAGAAATAAAATCTATACTAGAGAGAATAAAAATAAAAGAATGAAAATAAAAAGAAATTACAAGGAGGGAAATAAGAACAAAAAAGTAAAGATCTAAACTATGAACATAAAAATAAATCTAACTAAGTTGCAATGAAAAGAACATAAAAGAAAATCTAGATTATGCGAGAAAATAAATCTTTACTACAAAATAAAAGTGTAAGACAACAACGTAAAAATAAAGACATGAATGTAAATCTACTCTACAAGACATTAATGTAATCTAAACTACTAAAACAAAAAGAAAAGAAATTACTAGAATATGAACAAGAAAATAAAAGATAAAAGGGAAAATTTATATTCCAAGAGGGTTCTAGCCTCTTGATGAAGGCAAATCTTCATCTTCATCTTCATCTTTATCTTCATCATCATCAAATAGAGAGAAGAAAAGAAAAATATGGAAAGGTGAATTTTTTTATTAATTGCAACAAAGTTATAATTTTTAGAAGGTCTTCTCAATTAAGAGTAACCCTCCTCTCCATATGGAGTTTTTATAAAATTTTTCACACACAAAGCCCTCAATCTCTACCCCTATTTATAGCCTACGGTAATGAATAAGAACCCTTAGATATTTCTTAGAGATCAAGGATTAAATCACAGCCAAAAAATAGTTTTTGTTGCAAACCAATCGGTTAGCCAATCGGTTGGCCAATCGGTTAGCCAACTGATTGGTTTACAACAGATTGGTTTTTTTTTGTAATTTCTTGACCCCATTTCTTCATGGATCCTTGAGCTTTTTTGGGCCTTCTTTTGTCTTCATATTTGGGCTTCAATATATAGTAGAAAATTAGGGAGTTTGATTTTTTAGGCTTTTATGCATTAATCCTTCATTAACTTGAAAATTAAGATAAAATACGTTTATTAGTGATAATTTTATTTAAATGAAATAGATAATGAGGGTATAAAATATAATTAAAAATATGATTATCAAATACTCCTATACCTAAACTTTTGCTAGTCCTCTAGCAAAGAGACGAATTAAAAGGGAAAGAAAGAAAAATCCTAACATATTTTCGCATGAATCGCAGTTGTAGTGCTTACAACAAGTCTTTAAACCCCTAGGTTACCCTAGAGGACGAGTTATAGTCTCATGAGGGTTTGCAGTGAATGTACCCACAAATTTGATTAATTTTCCAATTTAAAGAAGCTAGTGAATAATTAATTTACTTAATACCTTTAAATAATCTATCGAAGCTAGTTTTTATTCAAGAAAATATTTTTATGTATAATTCCAAAGTAAATTTCTTAGAAACTCTTTTCATAATAGTTATACTAAACCAAAGTCTAACTTAGAAATTTACTGAAAAGTTTAAAAAGAGCATGCTAACTTTCTGTTTCAAATAATATTTTAAGTTTCTTGATCAAAATATTTTTCAAGAGGATATATATATATATATATATATAGTATATATACTATACTAATATATATTATATATATATATATATATATATATATTATATATTATATATATATACTATATACCTTTTAGTTCTGGTGATTTTATTCTACTTTTAGCGGGCTTTCTAAGTGACCATGAAAAGAGTTTTGGGCCATTGATCCCAACCCAATTGGGCTTAGGTCATTAAGTATGTAAATATTATCAGCCTTAATTACACCAGTTAACTTAGAACTTAGTAAGATAAAACCACCTTAGAGCTCAAGGGAGTTTTGTTTCTTACTTATTATATATATATATATTATATAATATTAATATATATATATATATATATATATATATAATATATATATATATATAATATTATATATATAAATATATATATATATATATATATATATATTATATATATATATATTATAATATTATATATATTGTGTGTTGATGTTGTGTGTGTGTGTGTGTGTGTGTGTGTGTGTGTGCTGTGTTGTGTGTGTTGTGTGCTGTGTGTGTTTGAAAGAAATATTATGATTAAGAGGACATTTAATACTATTTTCTAGTCTAAGCTAAGCATTCAAAAATTTCATTATTTTAATTACAAGTTGTTTCTGTTCTTTTGCATTGCAATTGATGCAGCTTACAGTAAAAGAAACATAATGAAATGAAGGAAAATTTAGATTTCCTGGGGTTTTTTTTTATGTGCCGGTGGAGTGTCGATCTTGTACTCCGTTGATGTATCGATCAAGACAATGAGTCTTTTGCTTTTGATGAGCGTTGAATTGCTTGGAAGCTAGCTCAGTCTTCTCTTAACAATATTTCTCAATAAGATCGCAAGTGCAATGCATGTAATGACTCTTCTGCCAGAATTGAGTCAGAATTCTAATCTCTCCAATTAGTCAAAATCTGTCCTTTAAAATGAATAATCTCCTCTCCTTTTATAGGCTAAAAGAGAGAGTTAATGATCTCCTTAATTGTGGATTAAGTGGTCATTAAAGCTAGAGTTAGTGGAAAACAATTATCCCCCGAAAAATCTCTTTAAAATGACTATTTCGACGGACTTCATAGACTTAGCGAAGTTCTCTAAAGACGCGGGCGAAGGTCGCTGAGGACGTGGGCTCTTTGGAAGTGGATGACTTGGTCCACTTGATGTGGGTGAAGTTCATTAGTTGGCGAGCTTTGCCTATGAGTTCAAATTTGACACAAAATTTGACTCTAGACTTGGCCGACTAGTGACGCCTTTTGACTCAGTCTCGGGCGTCTCGTGGGAGTCGATTCATGCTTTGACTTGGTCGGGTCAAGCTGACATGGGCTATTTTACGAGCTTCATCTATGAGTTCAAATTTGATACAGGATTCGACTCTAAGCATGACCAACTAATGATGCCTTTTGACTCGGCCTGAGGCATATCATGGGAGTCGACTCGTTCTTTGACTTGGTTGGGTCAAGTCGATGTGGGTTATTTTGTAAGCTTCATCTATGAGTTTGAATTTGACACACGATTCAACTCTAGGCTTGATCAACTAATGATGCTTTTTGACTCATCCTGGGACATGTTGTGAGGGTCGATTTGTGTTTGGCTTGGTCAAATTGAGTCGATGTGGGCTATTTGGTGAGGTTTGCTTTAGTCATCAGGTGGTCTTCGCTGCAACTTGTTGTAGGCTTGACTCTGGGCCATTTGAAGTGTTTAGGCCATGGACATTCACTTCTTGGATCCAATCTGATCATCGTCCAAAGTAAAAATATATTTTGACCATCTACAAGACCCTCCAAGTTTTTAATATCCAGCATATCAATTTGTAGCTAGCATTTGAAATACGTTGGGTAAATAGCCAGAGGTATAGTATTGAACATGATTTGAGTTGTCTTGATTAGTTGAAAACTTTTCTTCATCTACCTACTTGGTTGCCAGATGTGTAGTGTTGAACGTAGCTTCCTTTGTTGAAGACTTGCATCAAAAGTTTGATGATACTTGTGCTCTGTTGGGTGTAAAAATTGACTTCCCATTTGAGGGGTCGTTCGTATTTATAAGAGTGACTTATTACAAACTAATGATCAATATTTACAACAGAGGAGAAGGGAATGGCCCTTCTTGTTTAACATGGGTTCTTCGACAGCGGTAGGACACCTTCCTTGGTACTCGTGCCGAGTTTTCTTCCCTTGGATGATCTGATCGAAGTTGCGGTTAGAGTTCGAATTCACAAGCTTGATGAGTA